AATGCCTGTTTTTCTAGATATTTTTGAGCTATAAAACCTCTGTAAAAAACATCTGTATTAAATAAATGTAAGGTACATACTGTGGAACATTCGAAGCAGAGCAATGACATCCATAGAAACAAGCAGGTGACAGACCCCCAAACAAAAAGTTACAGAGTGCACCTTTAATGTTACAATGTTTTGATAATTTGCCAATTTATTCAGCAAATTTTGCAGACTCTCATAAACTGTGTTTCATTCGTTCATTCGTTTTTCAAAATAAAACCAAAAATAAGAAAACAAAAAAACAAAAATTTTCTTCATTATTTGTCTCCAAAACCAAAATGAAAAAACGGATAACAATTTGTTTCAGTTTTCGATTTTGTGTTTAAATGAAGCATGGAAAAAACGGACAACGACCATTTCCCGATTTTTGTGACTGAAACTGCGATGCCGAACTGAACCTGGACTGAACCAGGACTAAACCATGTCCGACCAGGCCGAGCCTGAGGCCGAGCCTGAGGCCGAGCCTGAGGCCGAGCCTGAGGCGGGACTGAGGCCGGGACTGAGGCCGGGACTGAGGCCGGGACTGAGGCCGGGACTGAGGCCGGGACCAGATCAGGACTGAGACTGGGACCAGACCAGGACTGAAAATGGTTCAGTCCTGTTTTAGTCCTGGTTCAGTCCATATGCTGCACAAAAGCTCGGCATCGCAGTTTAAGTCACGGAAACGGGAAACGGACGTTATCCGTTTTTTTCATCATTCATTTAAACACAAAATCAAAAACTGAAAAAAACTAATCGTTATTTGTTTTTTTCATTTTGGTTTTGGAGACAAATAATGAAGAAAATAGTATTTTTTTCATTTTCTTATTTTTGGTTTTATTTTGAAAAACGAATGAATGAATGATACACAGATTTCTCATAACCAAGATTTAACTCTTTTCTTTTGTACATCGCAGTTGTTTTTCTCGTGGCATCTGTCTTTGCCAACGAAGAGCTTGTTACCGACGACGGCTACGAAATCTCCCCCAGCACCAATGCACCCTCCGATATCGGAAACCTTGAAAGCATCTCTGGCAGTACAATGAACCCGATGACCAACTCCACTGAAAATCAAACTGATGTCACCCAAACTTACTTCGCAACACCCCAAGGTACGGCCTAGTGCAGCGTTTCACGACCTTGGAATGATTTCCGATTTAAAAGAAATGTGGAATTGAATGGTATTTGAATTTGATTAATACTTTCTAGATGTATGTGTATTTGCAGAATGTTCACTGGTTAACATGGAGACGCAATGCACACGCCAAAAAAGTTTTAAGATAGTCTGAAAATAAATAGTTTGAAGGTACAGAAAAAATACAAAATGGATTTAAACAGCACATTTCAAGAGCCTGGGCTTTATACGAACATTTATAATTCTGTTTAGGAGTTTGTATTTCAGCCTTAGACTGTATAAAATGCCGTATTTTCAGGGCTATTAGGCGCTCTGGATTATAAGGCGCACTGTCATTAAATGGTCTATTTTCAAACTTTTTTCACAAATAAACTGCACTGGACTTTAAAGGAAACACAACAGTTGGATGGGTCAGTGGGATTTTGTTTGGCGCGTTCACGGTGACTCTGGGCTTTGTTCAGTTGTGGTGTGCAGGGAGGGTGCTGTCTGGGACCGCTGGATTGTCGGCGTGTTCGCAGTGACTCAGTTGTTCAGTTGTGTCCAGAAGTGGCACATTGCACTCGCTTTTTCGGTTCGTTCCTCCGTTCCGTTCCTCATCTGCATGGAATGATGAGTGTGTCTGTGGGTGTTTTTTGTTGTGCTGTCGCTGTCTGCTCTGTGTGTGTTTGCGTGCGCTGCGGGTGGTGCGACTTTGTAGTTTACGGACGTCGTGCTGGGACACCCGAGTGGATTCGTGTATGGGGTGCTCTGGATTGCGAGGTGCGCAGTCGTTTTTTGATGGGTTTGGAGGCTTAAGAGCGCGTCTAATAACCTGGAAAATACGGTAACTAATTAACTGAACACAAATCAGATCACATGTTGTAGTTCCAACTAAAACAGCTCTTTCTGTTCAGATTGTTGTAAGACAAAGCTCAGATTAAAGCAGGCCCGTCAACAGAAATATGGGGGCCTGGGGCAAGAAGACTCACATGGTCCCCCCCCTTTGATATTAATAGGTTCCAGTTCTGGGCCCCCTAAAACCCTGGGGCAGACAACAGACGCCTTTGTTTCTCCATTGACACAAAAGTCCAACAAGCCTCAGATAAAGCAACACCCACAGTTTAGGGTGATCAGACGTCCCTGTTTACCCGGGACAGTCCCAATTTTGAGCCTTGTGTCCCCTGTCCCAGCAGATTTATCCGAAACCATTGATTTGTCCATTGATTTTATACAAAAAATCCCCCAGGTGTCCATATTTTTAACCAATTTGATCCCTACTAACATAAATTGTGACTTGTTTAGGTCAAATACACAAAAGCATGCTTAAAATTACTAAAGAAAATGTGACTATACTGACTCACCTTAGTCATGAATGGGCTGAGTGCATTTCCTTAATTATGCCCTCATTTCACAATTTTATTTGAAAATCTAGTCACCCTACAACAGTTGATGCAAAGTATCAGTAAGATCTTCTTTGTAGAATGATGTTTGTGTTGGATATTTTTTATATAAATTCTGCTAAAACAAGAAAATATAGTACTGTATTTTCTGCACTATAGGGCACACTTTAAACCCTTTAATTTCATCAAAGAACGACCTTATAATCCAGAGCGCCTTATATATGAATTTATTGGGGTGTCTTAGTACGACTTTAATAAACTACAAAGCCGCACCGCTTGCAGCATTACGGCTCCCGTAGTCAGGAGCATCGAGGAGTAATACATACTGTGATTCCTTTTCATATCAAAATGCACCTGTCAAGAGACACGCTCACAACGCCCACTTTAAACTCAAGGTTATTATAAAGTGAAAGTGCGAGCTGCGTGGGAGCAGTGGATGAGAGAAGGAGAACACACATTCACCAAGACAGGGAGACAGCGCCGAGCGACTTACGCCACGATCTGCCAATGGATCGTAGACGCCCGGGCTAAGGATCAGTATCAACTGTGGTCCGAGCTTTCAGCAAGACCGGAATCATCACTGAACTGCCAGGGAACAGTAACCACACTGACTCGGATAATGACGAGAGGGATGCGGGCGTGCTGGACACCGTAATCGCCCAACTGTTTGAACAATTATGAGTTATTGTGAATACACTAACAATTTAGCGTCTCAGATAGTATTTTTCTTACGCGTTTCAATTGAACAAAGTTGAGAGTTATTGTGAACGCGTTAAATAAAGTTTGACTGACTTATCTGTTGTGTTTCGTTTAATGCACCTTATAGTGTGGTGCGGTTTATATGTGAAAAAAATTTGAAACTAAACCATTCAATGACAGTGTGCTTTATAATCCAGAGCGCCCCTATAGTGTGGAAAATATGATAGTTATAATAGGCAATGTACTGGCAAACGGATTTATGATTACCACAGAAACACTGGTACCATTGAAAGGGGAAACTCAGAGGGAGAGATGACACTTAAATGGTCCAAAAAAAAAGGAACAACTGGTCTTGTGTGTATGTTTTATGTTTGTGGAAAAAAAAAAAAAAAAAAAAACATGAAATATTTAAACAGACCTGGTGTTTTTCATAGAACCTGTAACGCCAAAGGACGGAGTCATTGTACGACGGTCTTCTGAGGCAACCCCCGCAGCCAGCAAACCCACATCCGCCAAAAACCAAACCAGCGAACCTGCAACCCCAAAACCCATCACACCCAAACCCATAACCCCCAAACCCGTAACCCCCAAACTCGTAACCCCCAAACCCATAACCAAGGGAGATGATTTACTGGAGTTAATACCAGTATGGAGTAAGTAATGACAATTTTTACACTTTTTCTTCATTTTATTAAATTTTTTCCATGCCAACAAGGAAGGTCTAGGCAAGGCAAGTTTGATCTGTATAGCACAATTCGCACACAAAGTAATTCAAAGTGATTTACACACATAAGAAAAACATTAAAATCACAATACAAACAGATCAAAACATAAATAACCATCACAGACTTCAAAGAAAGAGAGAAGAGTACGAATAAAAACACATCTACAGCTAAGCAGAACTGTTTTGAGCCTGGATTTAAGGTTCTTTATTACACAAAACTGATTCTTATCAGGTTTAAACCATGTTATAATGCTGTTACCTCCTGAAAAAACACATCTGGAGTTAGTTGTGTTTTGTTTCATTCATACTTGTTTGGGTAAATCTGGTTTATTTGTGTGTAAAATCCCTCAGTCCGTCCAGGTGGAATCCATGGCAAAAGGAGAAATTCAATTTGCCAACTGGACAAATGTTTATTTTGGTCGAAAAAAATTTCGGAGCTCATCCAAGCTGCTTCTTCAGTTTTGGTCAGACGCTGGTGGACACTTCCTTATATCTGTCTGAAGGGAGGTTGCAGTTTTGAGAAGTGGGTGGAGGGGAGAGCGTACAGGAGGCTGTTGCAGTAGTCGAGTCTGGAGGAGATAAAGGCATGAATGAGGATTTCTACGGTGGGCTGAGAGAGGGAGGAGCGGAGACGGGTGATGTTGCAGAGGTGGAAAAAAGATGTTTTGGTGATGTGGCTGATGTGGGTTCTGAATGACAGGGTAGGGTCCATGATGATGCCAAGAGGGAGGGGGGCTAACAGTGTGGCCATCGATGAAGAGGGAGATGTTCTGAGCAGTGGGGAGGAGAGCTTTGGGTCCGGTGATGAGCAGATCTGTTTTATTGCTGCTAAGTTTGAGGAAGTTGTGGTCCATCCAGGTTGTGGTCCATCCAGGACTGGGGAGATGGATTTGGTGGAGATGTAGACCTGAGTGTCATCGGCATAGTGGAAATTTTGTCCATGGTGGCGAATGATGTGGCCGAGGGGAAGCAGGTAGATGATGAAGAGGAGCGGGCCGAGCACCGAACCTTGGGGAACACCAGCCACCAACATATTAGCACAACCATTCAGGGCCATAATGGATGCTTTCACACCTCTGTGCCTGACCTGGATAACTGTTGTCTTTAAATACTCTGTTCCTCCTTGTGATGTCATGTGGAAGTGCTCCTCTGTGTTTTTAAACTCCATACACTTTCAGTAGAATCATTTGGACAACTTTCCAATCTCTACTGAACTAAAGGTAAAATTTTGCTGTTAACTTATACTACCACTTCATGACATCACAAGGTGGAAGAGAGCATTTTGAGTTTTGAAGATGTAGAGAACCTAATAATCCCGGATCACCCAAACAAGTGCGAATGAAACAAAACGCAACTAAAAAACAAAACAAAACAGCAAAATAGCATGACTTAAAGCTCACAAGAGTCAATTTTGTGTAATATAGGACCTTTACTTGCATTTATTTTTAATTCTTTGACAATCTTTTTTTTTTTTCTACAGCGACCCCTTCACCAAGTCAAGGAAGTAACAGTGTCGGTGAGTGTCAAAAAAGCTATAAAAGCAAATTATTTTTAATTGTCTAACTCCCACTGTTTGATTGTCCAGGCATTATAATCTTGATAGTCATCGTCGTCATTTTGCTCCTGGCTATACTGGTCTGCTACGTGGCTCGAAGCAGATCAAGAGTAAGTGTAGCTTGTAATAATTCTTTTATTTGGAGTGCTGGGGATTTTCAACATGCTTCTGTATCGGCGTAATGTTCAGCAGTTACCATGAAGTTGTAGTTTTAAGATCGAAAATGGTTTTAAACGGCGCATTTTCAGGAGCCTGTGATCGATACGAGCGTTCATGGTCCTGTTTAGGTGTTTGATTTTTGACAAAAAGGTGAGAGTGACTGAAAAACTGCTGCACATCATCTCTCCTGCTTTAGCGCCAAACGAGTTCGCTCTTTCTGGTCAGATTGTGTCAAACAAAGCTCTGATTCAAGTCTAATAGAGCTTCAGACGGAATAGTGCTTTCAGTTAGCTTCACAACCCCAGGGAACGTCGATGGCATCAGCTGCAAACTATCAATATCAGGCCTGTTTTACAGCGCACTGCGTGTGAGTTGACGTTGTATTCTTTATGCAGCGTTACTCGATGGACTTGACTTCTAGACCTGATGAAGCCCAGATCCCTCTGAGCACCGTGGAGGCGGAGGCAGTGGTCGAAACTGTCACTTCTAACGGTAACTTAAAGGGCTCATATTACGCTGTTTTTTGGTCTATGTTATAATGTTGTTTCCTCATCAAAAACAGACCTGGAGTTGTGTTTTGTTTCATTCACACACGTTAAACACACAAATCCTGCATATTTAGGCTGAGTCTCTCAAAACAAAAGCACTCTGTTCCCCCTGTGATGTTCTGTGGTAATACAGGAAGTGCTCCACTTTCGTTTTTAAACTCCATATCCCTTTACAGTTCAGTAATCAGTTGGATTATCAGTCCTGGAATTTCTCATCTCCACTAAACAAACGTAAAAGGTATAGTAGCTGTTAACTTGAAAACTATCGCTTCATGACATCACAAATTGGAACAGAGCATTTTGACCTTTGTTTTACTCAAACGTGTGTGAATCAGACAAAACACAGCTCCAGGTTTGTTTCTGATGAGGTGACATTCAAACATTCAAACATGCCTTTAAAGCTCCCAAGAGTTAATTTTGCGTATTATAGGGCCTTTAAAAGTCAAATTTTTTATGTGTACACTATATTGTCATTGTAGGGCTGGAGTTTGAGGGCACAGAAAACGGTACACAAGAAGCCCAAGAGCCAGAAGTGAAGACTGAAGAACAAGTGGAACAGAAAGGTAGGAATTATTATTATTATTATTATTAAGGGTGTGTTCACAGAGCTGGGAATCACAGGGTCCCTCATGATTCAATTCGATACACCAGGGGTCCAAACTGTAGCTCGGGAATTACCAGCAGCTCTCCACTCCACTTTCAAGCAGCTTAACAAGGGGTTTCTGAATTCTATGTATTGTGGATAAGTAAAATTTATTTAATTACCATTGTAAATGTATCATTTTGATGCCTAAATTGGTGCACCGACAAATGGATAAATGGTTTGTTTTATCAGCATATAACTGTTTCCATCTAATGTTTACTCAGTTTCTTTGCGACTGCTGAAATTGGTAGCTCTCTGACATTTTTGTTTTGTAAAGGAGCTCACTGGAAAAAAAAAAAAGGTTGGAGACGCCTGCGATACACAATACATGGCTCTTGATAAGATATGGCGAAACATGAGATAATCGATATGTTTGTACATAAAGCATAATTATATAATATAATAACATGAACCGGTCAAAAGTTTTAGAACACCCTAATTTTTCCAGATATTTATTGCAATTCAAGTCGTGTAAGTCCAGTGAAGAGCTTGAAATGATTCAAAGGTAAGAACTGAACAGACAGAGGTTAAAAAATAAAATAAAAGATACAAAACACAAGTCCAAGCTCTGCCAAAACTACCTCAGGAAAAAAGAACAAGATGGTAAAGCTTGAAAACATGGAGTGTCCAGCACAGTCTCCAGACTTAAACCCCATCGAGCTGGTTTGGGATGAACTGGACAGAAGAGTAAAAGCCAAACAACCTACAAGTGCCACACATTTATAGGAATTTCTGCAACAGACTTGGGAAGAACTTTATGAACAATATTTGATTTCTGTTGTAAAAAGAATGAGCCATTTGAGAAGTCTGGAATATGTTTTGGTCAACAGTAAACAGTAAAAAAGAGAAAAAAGTGTGATGTTCTAAAACGTTTGACCGGTAGTGTATACTAGATGTACAAGTAAAAATAAAATACAGATAAGCAACAAAATTGTAGTGCAGTCAACAAAAAAAATTGCTAAAAGATAAAAATAATAAATTAATACAGCAGCCCGTGATAACAATACTGAATCACCAAATTTTGTATCACAGTATCACCAGTATTTCAGTATTTTTTCACACTCCTGTCATTTACACATTTATCTGTTGGTCTGTTTTCACACCATTTTAGTTTTGAAGTTCACTTTGGTTTGGCCTTATCCTAGTTCTGGTCTAGTCCAGGTTTTGTGTGAGCTTTAGTCCCACGTTAGTTCTAATTTTGCTGTTGTATAAGTCTAAGTGTGAACGCACCGTGAGTTGTGTGTTCTAGGCGGGGTGTGCTTTTTAAATTTGTGAAGGAGCTATGGCCTAATTGCACGTCTTCCTCTTTTGTAAGATCAGTTAAACGAATATAAAGGAAGCACAGTTTGTACCGTATTGCTTCATTCTGATATGTGAGAAAGAGATAGAGGTGTTAACATTTCTCAAAAATATCAACAAACAGATACTAATCGATACTGAAACTAGTATCGAAACTAAATTCTCATTTGAGCAGGTAAGGATACTAAAAAAGTCACATTTGCAGGACAGAAATGAACCTTTCCTGAACCAGAACAAGTATAAACAGCTCACAGACTTGACATAGACATTACTCTGCCTGGAAATGTTCCACAGTATGACCCTCTGCCAGAAAAGTTACACAATGCACCTATAAGTCCACTCCCTCTCTCAAATAACTTTATAAGTGTTGACAGGAAATACTAAAATATATACGAGGGGCATGTTTTGTTTTTTGTTTTCTTAATCAGACATCAGTTGTGGTTAAACTTATAGCCCAATGTGTAAAATGCAGTACTTTAGTTGACCACCAGATGGAGACAGAAGCCAAGTTAATGACACATTGGGTGACTAGGGCATCATGGGACCTAAATCTCAACATCAACATTATTTTAAAGTCTTAATTATTGTAATACTTGGTTTATACAAGTTTAAAAATAGACTAAAATATACATTGAAATATTGTTTGCTTTTCTTACTTGGATTACAAAGGCACAGACAGAGTTACAGTCTTGTTCATAGCCTACATGACGCTTTGTCTTTGGGCCATGTGGTAAAAGTCAGTTTGTTTTATGCATGAGTTACAAGTGAAAAGCTTTTATCTTGCACAGTGGAAGTTCCAATTTCTGTGTCGTCATTCATGAGTCACACAACTGAAGAAATCACTCATTTGCACGCATTTGTTCGTGTGAAGTTTATAGAGAAGCTTCTAAAAGAGGAAGATCGCCTAAAAGGGAGGTGTCGGTGACTAAAATAAAAAATAAAATTCCTCTATTTTGTGACTATTTACCCAGGACAGCCCCAGTTTTGAGCTCTTGAGTCTCTCCTGTCCTAGCAGATTTATCCAAAAGCAGTGATTTGACCCAGTTTTATACAAAAAATGTCCCAAGTGTCCCTATTTTTGACCAATTTCACACCTGCCAAAAGTAAAGAGAGTCATAAACAGTCATTTGTTTGGGTAAAATTCAGAGAAGGTGCTTAAAAATTACCAAAACATAAAGAAAATGTGATGATACAGTTATATAAATATCTATTTTTCTTTAATAAAGATACATTTTATAGAGCTAAACTATTCCCTGATTGTGGTAGATGGACTGGCATGGGTAGTGTTTTTGTTTTTACTGCAGAAAAGAGGAAGCCACTGTTTGAGTAACTGTTCATGTATGTTAGTTTGACTCATGTTAGTCATGAATAGGCCAAAAGCGTAACAATTTTCCTTAATTACGCACTCGTTTCACAAGTTTATTATTACCAATGACCCCAAACCAAAGTGTCCTAGTTTTTTATTTTGAATTTCTGGTCACCCTACTTTTATTATTAGTATGTCTACATTTCCAAACCTCAAAATGCATAATACAAAAGTACTAAATGGATTTAAACAAAAGATTTGCAGGAGCCTGTGATCAGTACACGTGTTTATGATCCTGCTTAGGTGTTTGATTTTCAACAGAAGGTGAACGTGATTGTTGGCTAATGCTTACGAGGTTTTTTTTAACAGGGACTTGTTTAACAGCACACATCAACTCATCTGTTGTAGTTCCAACCAAGTCAGTTTTTTCTGAGCTTCAGACAGGTTAGTGCTTCATTTAGCTTCACACCACCCAGGGAATTCTAACGACTTCAGCTGAAAAGTATCAATAGATTACATGAAATATCTCAATAACAGTCAACATCATAACCGTCTGTCAAGGATTGTTCTGAAGGCTTGTTACTATTACACTATTTTCTGTTATAATGTTGTTTCCTCATTACAAACAGACCTGGAATTGAGTTTTGTTTGATTATTCAATATACAAATCCTGCACATTTAGACCGTGTTCCTTTGAAAACGCTTTGTTCCACCTGGTGATCATGAGTCATGTTATAATACAAGTGCTTATACAACTTTACTAGGATCATTTAGACTTAGACTTACACTTAAACAAACTTATAATATAATATCAAAGAGAAAACGAATATAATAAAAATTGCAATAATAAAAAATTGTAAATAAATAGTAAAAATAGCAAGAGAATCGTGTCAAATAAGGCATGATTATACAAATGTAGAATCATTTCGATAATTTCAGCCCTTGAATTACCAATGTTTTCTGAACAAAAGGTAAAAGGTCGTAACTTGATAACTACAGCTTTCTGACATCACAAGGTGGAACAGAGCATTTTGAGCATCAGAGATATAGACTAATAAACCAGGACATGAATGAAATACAACACAACGCCAGGTATGTTTTTGATAACAACATTCAACAACATAGTTTAAAGCTCATAAGAGTCAATTTTGCGTAAGATAGGACCTCAAATAAACTAAATATGAAAAATATATATAACAGACTGGAAGATAAGAGTGGTAGGTCCAGTGCTCAGAAATATACGCAGCAAAAACTAAAATCTAGCCAAGTTAAGAAAGTTTTATCATGATTTGAGTAAATTTCACTTCACAAGTAAAATGATCTGCCAGTGGAACAAGACTTTTTGTAGTTAAAATATAAAAATACTTTTAGCTACACTTAAAATAAGAAAAACAACAACACTTTGCACTTAAAATAAGAAACAAAATCAAATGTTGCTTGAATTAAGAAAAACACACTTATTTCAATGGTAGCTCATTTTACTTGTCAAGTTGAATCTACTCAAATAAAGTAACATTTTAACTTACTTAGACATTGTTTTTGGAAATCTTGGCTAATATGCGAGATCTACACAAGCTGTGAAGATTAAACGTCCAATTTCCAGAAGTTATCGTTAACACATCTGTCGTCCTGTGACAAAAAGCCCGTCCATCCCCGTAAACCAAACACCGCCGCGGATTCTGAAGGCTGGAATGAAGCCCGAGGACGTATCTTGGCAGAATTATGCTCTGAACAGGGCTTTCTCTCACTTCTAACCCCGGGTCAGATAATGACGGGGCTGCCCTGCTTTCCCACACAATCCAACAGCTGCCTGGCTTTGGCTCATTGAGACTCCTTTTAGTAATCAGACGCTTCATTACCAACTTAAGATCCCTCTGGGCAGCCCTAAACCCACTGTCACAAAGCTCAAAACCACTCCGGGCTATGGCTCTGTTAAAGCACTGTTATTATGTGGTACAAAATGACCAATGCTACAAACGTGCGCAGCTATAAAACCAAACCGAAGCCCAGTCTAAAGTCACCACCTGGGTCTGACTAAGCCAACAGCTAATAAGTAAGAGCCTACAATTACATCATTACAGCAAATAATATTCAGATGCTCAAAGTTGTTAAATAGTGACGGTTGTGTTAGTCATGTGAAGATTTTCCTCCATGCAAAACTGACTCTTGTGAGGTTTTAATGCTGTTACCACATCAAAAACCTACCCGGAGTTGTGTTTTGTTTCATTCACACATGTTTGAGCAATTCTCTATTATTAGTTAGTCTACATTTCCACAGTTTAAAATGCTCTGTTCTACCTTGGGATGTCATGAAGCGCTAGTTTTTAAGTTCATAGCGACATTTTTTTGTGGCCATACCGGCTTGTAAAAGCCTGATCTAGTCAGATCTCAGAAGCTAAGCAAGGCCAGGCCTGGTTAGTACTTGGATGGGAGACACTGGGAAAATCAGGTGCCACAGTGGGGCGCCAGTGGCAATAACTGTCGTTGTGTCCTTAGGCAAGACACTTCACCCACATTGCCTAGTACAAAAGAGGTGTGTGTGTGTGTGAGTGATGGTGGTGGTCAGAGGGACCGATGGCACCAATTGGCATGGCAGCCGTGCTTCTGTCAGTCTGCCCCAGGGCAGCTGTGGCTACAATAGTGGCTTACCATCACCAGCTATAGAGTGAATGAATAATGTTGAATAATGATCTGTAAAGCATCTTTGTGACATATGTCTATGAAAAGTGCTATATAAATACATACTTAACTTACTTTTAGATTTTCTTCAGTAGAGATTGGGCAGAAATTATCCAAATGATTATACTAAGGGTGTAACGATATTCAAGTCTCATGATACAATATCATCACGGTATGAACCTCACGGTACGATATTTATTGCGATATCGTTTGAAAGCTCACGATATGGTGGAGAGGCTCACCATTAGGGATGTAACAATATCCAAATCTCTCTGTACGATATTTTCACGATGTACATCTCACTGGACGATATTTATTGCAATATTCTGTGGAACTAAAAACACTATGAATATGCTACTTTTTCCTCTTAAATTACCACATGACATCACAAGGTGGAACAAGGTGGAGTGGAACAGCCTAAATCTGCAGGGTTTGTGTGTTAAACATGTGTAAATGAAGAAATGTGAAAAATCCCTCTGTCTTCCATTTAGAATCCATAGCAAAGGAGAAAAATCAGTTTGTCAGCTGGACAAAAGTTCGTTTGGTGAAAACAAACAAACTTTTGTCCAGTCGACAAACTGATTTTTCTCCTTTGCCATGTGTGAAACAAAACAAAACCCCAGATATGTTTGTGATGAGGAAACAACATCATGATATAGATCAGAAAATAGCCTAATATTTTAATAGGTTTTAAACTGTATTTTGCTATAATAATAGTTTTATTATAATAGATAAATAGATATATATTATAATAGAGCCAAAACTGAACTAAAACACACTCTTTAGAAGTAAAATGTCAATTAAACATATATAAATACACTAGAAAATGCCATCTATGCATCTATATCAGGGATCTCCAACCTTTTGCATCCAGTGAGCTACCCTTTAGAAAACAAAAATATTGGAGAACAACTCATTTTTAGCGTTGCAAGAAATAGAATCGATATAAGAGGGCAAGACTTAGATGTTGAGCAGTTAGATGTCTTTAAAACATAAAACCATTATCCATTTATTAGTGCACAAAGTTCAAAACAACACATTTACAATGGTAATTAATCAAATTTGAGTTATTCAGTATGACACGTAATTCAGAAATCCTTTGGCAAGCTACTTATACTGGGATGGAAAGCTGCTGGTACCTCCCGAGCTACAGATTGGAGACCCCTGATCTGTATGATACAAGAAAGGAACTTGGCATTTAAAACTTATCAAAGGTGTTACTAGTTCACAAAAATAAATATAAGTCTTCAATGAACTCTTTTGCAATGCTTGTGTGTACATTGGTCCAATATCTGTACATTGGATTTGTATTTGTCTTATTCTTGTCTTTTTCTGTCTTTAATCATAACTGGTAAACTCTCTCTCTTTGTTACAGCTGAGTCTGAGAAAGTGACCGTTGAAGTTATCACCGAATGTGCAGCTCCAAAAGACGAGAGCCCTGAAGAGCCTAAACAGGAGGTCCCCGATCAGGTCCCGGATCAGGTCCCGGATCAGGTCCCGGATCAGGTCCCGGATCAGGTCCCGGATCAGACCCCCGCTGCCCCCCTGGAGCCCAGCGCTGATGAGAAAACTGATGATGAAGGAGGAGAAGGAGTCGCCTCCAATAAGACCTCTGTGGAGTCACTGAAGGACAGCACCGAAGCCAACGAGAACAACAGCAACAACCGCCTCCTGCCTCAGAGCCGCGCCACAGGTCACAGTGGATAACTTTATTTTTTAAACATAAATTTAGACTTAAAGAACTTTATTGATCCACAAGTGAAATTATTTGGACACAGTAGCTCAAACATCACAATATAATATAATGACAAAGAGCAAAAATACAAATGGTAATAATAATTCAGACTAAGTAGCAAAAATAACAGCTTTATTTTTTATTTTTGACAAACTATATCATATTTTACATTACACGCTACCAGTCAAAAGTGTATGTATGCGTTTTTCATCTTTATTTTCCTGATTATTTTCATTGTAGATTCTCACTGAAGGCATCAAAACTCTAAATGAACACATACGGAATGTAGTAAACAACGAAAAAACTCAAAATAATTCAAAACCTGTTGTAGATTAAAAATATCCACCCTTTTCTTTGATCTCTGGTTTGCACTGTTGGCATTTCTTGAGCCTGACATGGCACAGCTGAAGTGAAAACCATTTCAGGAGACTTCATCAAGAAGAGAAGACAAATGGTTTACAGCAGGGGTCTCCAACCTGCAGCTCTCCACCTCTCTCCAAGTAGCTCAGCAAAGGATTTCGGAATTATACCACTGGGCTGAATAAGAAAAAATGGTTAATTACATGCCTATTACCATTGTACATGTATAATTTTGAAGCTAAAACTTCAGCTAATTTAAGAGTAGTTTTGCTTGTCAGAGTCCAACTAGTAATGCAACAATTTAGGTGCAACAAAATCATTGAATTTAAATACATAAAACATACTCATACAGCATTAGTATTAAAATGTACGGGTCAGTTGTCACCAAAGCAAAGGGTGGATTGGAGAATTTGAATATAAACTACTAAAAACATATATTTAATTGAGTTATTTGAGTTTTTTCTTTACCACATAATCCCATTTATCTTGTTTCATGTATTTGATGTCTTCCATTTGTGTCTAAAATGTAGAAAGCAGTAAACACAAAGGAAAAATCAAATAAAAGCTGTGTCCAAACTTTTCACTTTACATGTATATTATGATGATTACAGCCTGAAATAAATTTTTTAAAATGCTGTAAAACCTTCCTTTCTACTTTGAATTAAGCAAAAGTAACACTGATGTTTTCTCATTGAACAGAAGTTGGAGCTTTTTATGACGTGCCCCTCGGCGATATGGTGTGAAATCCTGAAATGGTAAGAACAACACACTTTTTACACCAGTTTATATTGGATCACAATAGAGAGTGCTTCACGTAATTAGGGCAAAGTTCACTATTTTTATCTGTTTTATTATGTTAGGTACACTTACATAAGAAGAAATCATTAATGAGAAGGAAAAAAAAATGTTATGAGGGTCAGTTTGTCAGAGAATTGTGATTTTATATGGCCCGATTTATCAGCCAGTTTCACTTCGTGGAAAATGTCTGACCTCGCAGCATTAGGATTCGTTTGCTCAACAGTAGGCAGGTACTTTTTTTTTTAATTTAACCAATCGCTGCTATTTGGTCGTGACATATGTAATGCGCCACTAACGGGTCTAACTGGTATATTAAGCCTTTCCCAAATCCCGTAGGAGGAAGGACAACAATGTCTTTCCCCTTGATAAAATTCACCAAACATTCTCTTTGTTTCTGCTTTAAATCTTCGATCTCGTCAATCGTTGCCAACACAGAATGTATGGCTTCGTATACATTGGGGTGTCCAAACTTTTTTCATCTAGGGCCACATCTCGAAACACAGATGAAGCAGAGGGCCAGTCGACATCCATAGACTGGTGATCATTACAGTAAATAATTGAAATATCTACATGTTTAACACATTACAATGAGCCATCAATCCTTTATTCATGCTAAGATTCTCAAAAACAAACACGAAATATTAAATGTTGGCTTTATCAAGGTAGATTTTCAAAAAAACTTGCAGTAAAAAGTAAATTTTTCATTGAAGCAATGTAATTTGGGCCAATTCTCCTGGAAGCCTGAGGGCCAAGTAAAATTTGTCAGAGGGCTGCATTTGGGTCATGGGCCATAGTTTGGACATGCCTGGTCTACATCCATTGTGTTGTTCCACAAAAGGGATCCAGACAGGCGCTTGAGTTTGACGTCATGGCTTCACAGCTCTTCACTGCTTGGCCGGTGCGCGGTCTACAACTTCTGGGGTTTTTGCGAACCGTCTAGTGTACAGTTTTCTGATTCCTGATCTAGTCGCTGGAGAGAAATGAAATTGAGCGGAGGCACTAGGTGACTCCATACTGGCTAGTGATTTTAGTCAAATGACAGAAGAATTAATACAAATATAAATGTTTAACAATAAGAAAAAATTTAGAAAAATGAGAAAATTGTGAATGTTTTGGCGTATCTCCCACCCCTACCATAGCTGCTCTTATAGTCTTCAAAAAACGGCTTGTGTAGATGAACCTTATCTTATATCTTTGTCCCTCACATGCCCTCGGTGTAATCACCATGTGCGGGAGGATGTGCTTCCCAGAGTGCACCTGTGCTCTTTGTCTGTCCGCTCTTTTTCTCACTGCACTGTCCTGACTGGACCCGGGGCCACAGGAATCCACACAGCTCTTAACAGCTGATGATAGGCTCTTATCTGAGGAGCTCACCGCTGCCCCCCGGTGTCACGCATCGTCTCATCTGCCGTGTCAATACTGCGTTTCAATTTTAAAATTCTAACCAAGTACTGCAGAAGTTGAGTAAAACTTGTTCAAGTTATCAGTTTAAGAGACTCAAGCAAATGATAGTGTAACGTCTGTAAGCTCCGTACTAGAAAACTACTTTATGCATTTAATCTTTTCTTCAGTGATGCTGGTGCCTGGGCGCATTTCTCAAATCTTGATTTCATTTCACGGTTAGGAACTGCTCAAGGATTACCCCCAATAACTTAACAATACCCCCTATGATTCTGTAATAAGTTGCGATTCCAAAACAAACGCTGTAAGCTGGTGTTATTAGGGTTTTTTTTTAGATCAAGGATTTGTTTTCATACCTGACAGTTTCGACTGCTCACTAGCTCTCTTCCTCAGAGTGGTCATATGATGTTGCTGATTTATTTATTTTTTATTTTAGTTTAGTTTCTTTTTTTATTGGATCATTTGCAGCAAACAAAAATAAAACATAAACCACGACTACATGGGTCATGACAGGAAGAGTCCGAGCAAAAGCATGCACAAGTTTGCATTAACAACTCCACTCACTGTACATATAAGAGACAAAATACAAATTAAAACAAACTAAACTCAATGCACAATTCATGAACTCCAGAGCTCCATATTTTCCAAAATACGACACTCTATACTCTTTTTACAAGGTTTCTACAGTGTTGAGCTGTTTAAAGTCAAGAGATATTTTACAAACCAAAATCTCTACCAGAAACACAATCACTTTCTTCATCATTCTTATCTTCATTTTTATATTTTTATTTTTTCCTGTTTATGGTCGTACAATGTTAACAAAGGCACAAAGGTTTATTGTTTATGATCATGCAAAATAAAGCACAATGAGAATGAAATAATGTACGGATTTTTTGGTTTTTCGTTTATGGTCGTACAAACTAATAATAGTGTTAACGAAGGCAGAAAAGTTTATCGTTTATCAATGTACTCAGCTGATTTAAACAGGTTTTGGTGCTGTCTTCCTACCGGTGGAGGCAGGACGACAGCGCCATCTGCAGTCCAACTTCCTCAGGACAGTATCCCAGGTGTGTGAGAGTAAAAAAGCCCCCTCGTCCCGGTTTATAGTCCCGTGGGCACGTTTCTGTATTTCGATTGCCTCTTTAATCTAGCGACAATGTTTGTTGCCCTCTCCTTTTTTTTACTCTTACACACCTGGGATACTGTTCTTAGGAAGTCAGACTGCAGATGGCGCTGTCGTCCTGCCTCCACCGGTAGGAAGACAGCGCCAAACCTGTATAAATCATCTGACCGGACACGTGATCACTCTGAGGAAGGCTGCGAGTGAGCAGTCCAACCTGTCAGGTATGAAAACAAACTCTTGGTGTTAAAAATGAACCTAAAAACATAAATTATCAGAAGATCAAATAGAACCTCAATGAACTAACATAAGCTGGTGTCAATGGGTGCCTCATTTGTTGACAGCTCATTATTAAAGATGACATCCTCCAAAGTCAAAGGCCAAACTCTGTGAACCAACGTACACTCTCACAATGTCAGCTATGGTTGAAATGACCAATGAAACTCTTTATTTATAAGGATTATTTATAGGTTCCAGCATCCTCCAGCTTTCCATTTTGAGGACGGCTGACAATTAAAAAGATATAATTTGTTTTGCTTTTGTTAAAAGTTCTACATTACGCAAAATGGACTCTTGTGAGCTTTAAGCCATGAATATTATCTTTCTTCAAAAACATATCTGGAGTTTTGTTTTGTTTCATTCACACATGTTTGAGTAACACTTTATCATCAAGTTTTGTTTATTGAGGAAAAGTTTGCAGTCAAAAATAAACTCCCAACAAAATTAATCCATGTTTGGCCCGAGCTCCTCTTGCGTCTTTGAATCATACAGAAAATTGCAGCCATCAGACCAGAGGTTTGCCTGTTTCACATTTTACACTTGCTTTTCTGCATGGAGATGGACTTTTCTATCTTCCTGGAGACCAAACCAGACTGAGTTACAGATTAGATCTGTGGAGAGTCGACCCCGCTCACGGTCAGAATGCCTATTTTTCTAGGTGTTTTTGAGCTATAAAACCACTTTTAATTTAACAAAAGTGGCTTTTCCATAGAAACAAGCAGGTGATGGACCCCTAACCAAAAAGTTACATAATGCACCTTAACAAGCATCATATAGTGACACACTTGGCTCTTTTTTATGAGTTATATTGCAATAGATAAAATGTTTTATAATCAGACCAAGATGGCAAGTTCTGCTTTTACGTTACTGTATTTTCCGCATTATAGGGCGTTCTGGATTATAAGGCGCACTGTCTTTGAATGGTCTATTTTCAAACTTTTTTCACATATAAACCACACCAGTCTATAAGGCGCATTAAACGAAACACAACAGTTAGATAAGTCAGTCAAACTTTATTTAACGCGTTCACAATAACTCCCAACTTTGTTCAATTGTAACGCGTAAAAAAATACTGTCTGAGATGCTAAATTGTTAGTGTATTCACAATAACTCATAATTGGTCAAACAGTTGGGCGATTACGGCGTCCAGCACGTCCACATCCCTCTCGTCATTATCCGAGTCAGTGTGGTTACTGTTCCCTGGCAGTTCAGTGATGATTCTGGTCTTGGTGAAAGCTCGGACCACAGTTGATACTGATCTTCAGCCCAGGCGTCCATGATCCGTTGGCAGATTGTCGCTCGGCTCTTTCTCCCTGTCTTGGTGAATGTGTGTTCACCTTCTCTCATCCACTGCTCCCACGCAACTCACACTTTCACTTTATAACAGCCTTGAGTCTAAAGTGGGCGTTGTGAGCGTGTCTCTTGACAGGTGCATTTTGAGATTAAAAGGAATCACAGTATGTATTACTCCGCGATGCTCCTGACTACGGGAGCCATGATGCTGCAAGTGGAGTGGCTTTGTAGTTTACTAAAGTCGTATTAAGACACACGAATAAATTCATATATAAGGCGCTTTGGATTATAAGGCGGACAGTTGTTTTTTGATGAAATTAAAGGCTTTTAAGTGCGCCCTATAGTGCGGAAAATACGTTACACTATGTGGGTAAGTTGGGTATCTCAGCTTTAATTCACTGTATCGAGACTTCGATTTGGACAAACTTTACTGATTCACAAAGGAAATTATTTCGACACTCAGGACAATATTTTAAGAGGGAAAAGAAATGTGGCTGCTTTATTACAACCAGCTGCAAAATGAGCATCTTCTTTACATCTTTTTTAACAGCCAAACTAGTTTTTGACTTCGGCTCGACAAAAACAATGAACCCTCGTTGAGAAACTGTAAATCACAATTTTTAAAAGAAGAGAAAGAAGAAGTGACACCTGCTCTCGTCTCCACCTGGTTTGGCTGTGAGGAGTGAGCTGGAAGCTGAAATTGAAAGGCCCCGCTCAGTCCTGCTGTAAGGGATAATGGACACGAGGTGATAGGTCATAAAACAGAGTCTCGTAATTACACCTGTGCCTCCACCGTGTTATTATAGAGTTAAGACTTCAGCTTTCATGTTACGCGGCCGGCAAAGGAGGAAACAAGCTCTGAAC